TCCTGCTGAACCACCGTATGTCCTTGATTTGGCACAAGCAGTCAATATCCATGGGACTTAAGGACTGGGTGTCCCTCTCTAAGCAATTAATTTAGCACCTTCTCCCCCTACCATGAGCCATTTCTCTGTTAATTTATTTTCCTACAAATGACGTGACATTACAGCAGCCCTTCTAGCTGACCACTCAAACAGTTTTTCCTCCATGATTTTTACAAATTGCAAGACTATACACCTATCATTTTTACATCTCAGCTCTCACTTGCTTTGGTTGTATTTTCAATAAAAATAATCCTTAAAAAGCAAAAAGAATTGTGTTTTTAAAACATATATCAAGTATACTTTTATAAATAGGATGTTCAGACTTAACTCTAGTTTCATTTCTAGTACTCCATGGATTATTTCTCCTTCTTACTTTCAACAGGTATGTACCGCATAGCTCAAAGCAATACTAGCAGTGAATATTAAGTCACCCAAATTGCCTTCATAAAACTTTAAGCTTATTATGTAAACGAATGGCACTTTTAACAACAGCAACACTTTGACCATTACATCCATCTTTTTGCTCAGCCTTACCCTCCTCTTTGCACTTCTCTCTCCAGAGAAGATTATCTTCTGCCAGAATTCTCCAGTAACGGCATGTCTGGGCTGCCTGCAGAAGGTCCCTGGGTTCCAGGAATGACAGCACATACAGTGCCAGCTGTAAAAAAGAAAGTGTATTTTCTGCATTGCATTTGAAAGGAAAAGTGAAGTAACCCCTAGTGTCATCACACTTCAAGGGCTGAAATGAAGAAAATTGAAACAATAAATTATTAAACAATCTCAGAAACTTAACAGAACTACAGTTTCTTCCAGCAGGCACATGTAAGTATAACAGTCATCTTAAGGAAGTAAATCCCTACACATCACATCCGAAATTATTCTCTCATTTCTGAGGGAGTAGATGTCAGCTGAAATAACTATTATCTTTTAAAAATTGTAATCCACATTACTTTGAACCATTAACAGAGTTATTATTAAAATAATTATGTCTACACTATTTTAGCTAACAAGTATACCAAGTTATTCTGAGGGTTTCACTAAGAAGTACAACACTGACCATGTGAGCAAATGGGACATAATGTATAACATCCCTCTGTAAGACTGAAAAGTAAACGCTACGTGCACTTGAGTTCAAAAGCACGCTGCCGCTGTGGAGAATGCACCATACACACTGCTCCTTTCCTGATCAGAATGCAAACACACTCCTAGGTGTGTTTACAACAAGTTTTATGGAGTGAGATGCAGAAGGACTGATATATGTAATTCCCATACTGCACACAGTGCGTTACCAAAAACATGGGAAATCCCAGTGAGTACCAGAAGATGGAACTTTTTCATGTGACAAAATGAAGGGGTATTTATTGGGAGACTTCAGACCTCAGGTGACTGAGCTAAGCCATTTAAGGACTATGATAAAACCCCCCAAATCTCTACAAATATCTTCTGATATATTGAAGTCTTAAGCAGGGACAAAGGCATCTAAAACACAGTCCAAAATACAGGAATAGCTATCCTTAAGGGCATTATGAGCAAGTAGAGCTTTTCTACTCAACAGCAACAATGAAGCTCCCCCGGTCACAGAACACTGAAGAGACAGAAAAGCCCCTTCTGTGGCTACAAACTCTTTAGGTAGAAAAATACTGACAAAAACTGATGCAGAAAACTACTTACATGCCGAAACAGTCAGGTCTTTGTAACTAATAGGATGCAAAAGTTGTCAGGGAAATGAGATAATCCACTTCTACTTCTGCTTGACATATCTTTTTGTGTTTAGGATTTTTTATTTATTTTTTTAGCTGGAGTTGTGATGTATATAAATAGAATCTGCCCTTCAAAGCAGCACAGACTGAAAATCAGTAAGGAAGTCGTAACTGTAGGCTATTGACCTCAGCAGATTTTTGACCTTATTATGTGAGAAACCTTTACTTTCAGTAATCCAGGCTAGCTAGTGACTAAGCAGGAAATAAAAATTTCAGTACTCCAGAACTGTCTGCATTTTGATTGCACAAACACACTTTGTTTGCAAACCATCACCTGCATCTCATGCTGCACACGTAAAACTCCACATGGGAGAGATCTGTGGCTTAAGTTATGCATTATATCCCCTGTGCACCCCAGGCCATAAAGCTAAAGAACCTTCCTTCTCTCCCTAGTCAGGGAGTCAGCACTTAGGATCTGGTGTAAGGCTTTCCATTACAAGAGCAACAACTGTACATCCCTTCAGAGTTTCTGCCTTAATTTCTGATACATAAAATAATTTCAGAAGTGCTGTTTCCTAACACACATCAGATAGTCTTGCATGTGGCAAGACTCAATTGTGAGAAAGATCCTTTCCATTCTTGCTCGATGTTCCTTAACTGACAGCACAATTTGTTTAAATATCAGATATATACAGATATGGACACTTCCTAAGATGATGTTAATTAAAACCTGCAAGCCAACTGGTTCTAAGACAGGTTATATATATGGGTGACTGTCCTGGTTTGAGCCTTTTAGTCTGTATCTAAATAGTCATCAAGGGTCAACACAGCCCACAATTGACTTTTTAAGATGAGCAGTGCATAAAAGACTTTGTCTCAGCTGATGGATCTAGTTATAAGAAAACTTCAGCTAGTGAAGATCTGACCTTTGACTCAACTGTGACTACTCTCCACTGCAGTGTTAATAATACCCAATAAGTAGTCTCTCACTGCCTTCTTCACTCACATACATGACACTAACAAAATGTCGGTGGCTGATTTTAGTAAAACTCCTCATCTGTTGGTTTATAGACCTGGTTTTCATAAACAAGCAATTTCAGTAATTATTTCTAAAGTCTCAGCAAGAAAACAGGAGGATTCATTTCAGATTAATTGTCTGACTGCATGTTTCCTCAGGAGGAAAGCACACATTTTCTTGATTTTTCAGCTATTAAGTTACTGTCTTGGCATTGCTGAAAACATTAAGAGAAGCCCCCGTGTCCAAATGATCTTCTTGTTCTGGTTAGGTAATAAAATCACTGCACGGCATCCAACAGCACTGGAGGTTGCTCTGGACGTTAATGCGGAGCGACAGCTCGGGAGAGCGCGCATCCACAGAGCCACTCATTCCTGCCCCTCAGCTCAGTCTGACACTCCCTACTGCAGCCAGGGCAAGGAGCTGGGGATGGCATCACTGAGGAGAGCTGGGTGAGGAATGATCTTCAAAGGAGAGGAGGTGGTGCAGTTAGCTTGATGGTCTTTTTGTTTAACTTGGGTTCATTTTGGTGACAGTGACTGGGGGGTAGGAAGCTGAAGTTATTTAAGCCAGCTTCACTGGTGAAGTCAGCCTAGTCTGGTTTCAAGAGGCAAGAACAAACACTAAAAAAAATTATGAAAAAAACCTAAATAGCTTACAATGGAGTCAAGAAACATAAATGAGAAAGGAAGTTTTACCACCAAATAGTGTTATCTTTTCTGTGAAGAAATTGCTAAAACTGAAATCATAACATGATCATTACTTACAGCATAATTAGATACTGGTTGTATTTGAACTGGTTTTGCCACGAAATCATGTGAAGGCAACTGAGCAGTAAGTTACTGTTACCAATATGGTATTATATTTCCAGATCTAACAGATGCAGAAGTGGCAAAGTATCTTTTCTCAATAAACACGTTTTGCTGCCTTCCTCTGCCTCTAAACCAAGGCTGCTTTGGGCAGCTTCTCTAGAAACTTGGCAACCACAGAAAGGTCTTACTGGACTCTGCTCCTCCCCCAGCATCCTTCATCCATTGATGAAGGTGGCTGCCACAGGAACTACTGATACCCTGTAATACTGATCTCAGATCACGTGTACTAAGTTAATACTTGCTGCATAAATTGCTTCCACCCCCTACCAATGCTAACCAGAAAGGGAAGGCAGTGACTCTTCTGACTTGTGAAGATATGACAGACAGTATGTAAAAGGAAAGAGGAGTATCATACATCTAAGTATTCAAAAATAGGATATACACCAGAAAAAATGTCAAGAAACAAGAGATGCAGAACAACCTTCAGGTAGTAAGACCATGAGAAACACAGCAACCAAACACTAGCATCAGAGTATCTTTAAGAACTTTCTTTGTAATGCATGATTAACTGAAGACTTACAAAGACTTCATCATGAAAATTTTCACATGGAAAACCCAACACACAGTACATCTTGCAAGAGATTTCCCTCCCATTCCAAATAACAAAACTATTTCCAATTCCATAAAATCAGTCAAGGTCAGAAGTACTATTTCTAAATGAAGTCAAATACACTCATTTAATAATTATAGCAAACTGCTTTTTAATGTTTCATATCCACGCTCACATCCTACTTGTGAAGACACCAAGAATTACTCTTCTATGGTCAGCATTTAGTTTCACACCCTGATATCTTAATATTTTTTTTTTTAATCTGATACAACATGCTGATTTGCAATAAAGGGTTTACTGTGAGGTATTTGGTTAATTAGGGTTTGGCTTTATCTTCAGTGAGAAGTGCTTTTATGGGTCTGCTTTTGTTTTTTTGGTAGAGATTTTAGGGCTCAGTTTGTTTTAAAATAAATTCAAAAACAGTTTTTAAAAAAACCAAACCCACCACTTCAAGCATTAAACAATAATGCTTATGCTTACACAATAACGTGCAGAAAGGTCCTGCATCCAGAAGAAATCTTGTGTGCATGAGCTAAAAGCCCAATCAGCCCAGTTAAGATAGAGAAACGTTTTTAAAGCTACTCGAGTTTTTGTTTAACGGAGTTACCCATATTTCCAGGTAGCTAAATGCCTACCAAGATATAAAGCCATCTTAATCTGAAATTACAGTTGCTACGTTATGGCAGTGTATCAAACTATGGAGCTCTTCAACATCATGAATTGAATGAATGCAATAATTAGCATGGAAGTTCATAAAAGGTGGCAGCTGATGCACTGCATAGTCCAGTATTAACCTGTTTTTCTCACCTCTTTTGGGAGCAAGGAAATGAAGTCTCTTTGAAACTGGGGCTCTATCACTTGCATCATGTGTTTTACTTGTGTTGGTTCACAACTATCAATCAGTTCATCTAAAGCAAGTAATTTCTCTGGTCCACTCCAGCTCTGCAAAACAGAAAAATAGTGAGAAAAAACAAACAAACAAACAAACACAACAGTAAGCTTAGTTTAATATACTGGTTTCATTTCCAGCTTAAGTCCCATGGCTTTGCCAAAAAGGTAAGTTAAGTTTCTTTGTCCACCTCTATACAAGCAAAAAAGACCCTATAAAAAGCCTGCAAGATAAATGCTCATGTTAATCACACAAAAAAGATAAGCTAATAAACACAAAATATTGAAAATTGCTACATGGATTCATAAGCTAAAAAAGGATTTGTTATACACACATACAGATTAGCAATTAAAAACATAATAATATGTAATAATAATAATTAAAATAATTAAGCTTCTTTTGAAGTTGATTAAGTCTATGCAGATATTACTGACAATGAAGGGGTTGTAACAGAACATGTTCCCTCTCTTTCTGCACTGTGCATTCAAGTGGGTTGATAACTTCTAGCCTTTACGTTTCAACCAGTAGACCTCAAACTTTAAGTGAAACAAGAAGAAAGGAAAAAAAAGAAACTTCCTCTAAAAGTGTATTAGCTTATTGCCTGCTTATTACTACAGCACGTCCCTAAGTGACAATGCTGTAATTTCAGAATCCTGGCTATAAACCAACATGTATTTTGTAAGTATCAATTTACACTTGAATAAACAGGGAATTTTGATTGGTAATTTTCTTACTTCACATTTTTACTAATGGGCACCATAAAATTTGAGGATTTTAATAAGGCACTCATCTGAGAGTGTAGCAGATTAGTTGCATAATTTGTAGAAAAAAAAATAACTGAATATACTCCACATCTGAAAAGCATGTCTTAAACTCATCTGTGCTCATCAAAGAGTTTTGATTTGTTACGTAAAAACAATTTAAAGAAAAAAATAATTTCTACAGGAAAAAACAACAGCCACCACTAGCTCATTTAGCAACAGAATTAGAGCATGGATAAAGCCTGAGAGAGGAAGGAAAATGAGATATCACAGTTTTTGAGAGCAGAATCACATTCATATTCCTGAATGTCTTCTAGAGTGACATTTACAAGTAAATTAGCACATACAAATGATAGTACAGTTAATGGTAAGAGGCTAACTGACAAAAAAAAAAAAAGGCAAGATACCTTACAATTAAGATTTCTGTATTAATCTTGCAATCTTGCATCATTTCTCCCTAATTAAAACGTCAAAATCCTTTGAATGTCAAGGCAAGTATCATATACCCACATGATGACCCACCTGACTTGCATGTGCCCCCACTCCATCAGGGCAGTGCAAGCAGCTTTGAGCTGCCTCACCCATGGGGTGACCAAGCAGGCTGAGTGTAGCAGCTTTTTCACCCTGTGACATGTTCCTGCTCTACAGCAAAATTAGGCAGATACTGGCCAGCCTACCCTAACGGAGGGGAAGGAAGTTCCTATGACCTGAGCCTTTGCCATAATGATGACAATCCATTGGTAGGACAATCTAAGCTGGCCAGAAAATATTCCCCATCTGTGTGTGTATGTAGATTGTCCCTACATGAGATGAGGGTTTCTGTGTCTCACATCCACACCTCAGAATATTAAAAAGAAACAAGACTGTCTCAGCATAAGTTGTAGCAGAGCAGTTATAAACAGTTTTTATTCTAAACTTCTTTCAATAGAAACATTTGCATCACAGAGCAGTTCTCCGTAAATCATGCACTGAAAAACCAATTTTTCTCACTAACTTTCCTACTGCTGTTTGTTTCATTAACCCAGAGCTTAGCTGGTGTTACGTACAAACGTGTGCAATCTTTAATCTCATCTGTCAGCCCTGTTAAGAATTCAAAAAGGGAAAGTAATACCTGTACTACTTCCTTATACATTTCCAAGGTCAGCATACCCTTAATTTATAAGCAGCTACATTTATTAACTTAGAACAAGTCAGCTTGAAGAGCATTGTTTTTTGCTGTGGCCAACATTGCTAGCAGTTACAAACATGTTATTGATAAATACAGTCACTGTACAGTATCTTCACCTGTAACTGTCTCACACTGAAGACATGTCTGGTTTTAAAATGTAATATAGACCTGTACAGAAAAGGGAAAAGATTAAAGAATGGGAAAGAGATGCTAATGAATAAAAGCAGTATCCTCTTTCATCTGTCCATTCGTTGTTAGAGGATGCCTATGGGCAGCTTCCTAAGGCTTTTTTTAAGCAATCAACTGCTATAAAATGTTTTCTCTAGGACATTGTCCCCTTAGTCTTTCACTTAAGCAAACAAACCTCCAGCTACAGTTGGTAAGGGGTCTCTGAGGGAAACGTTTGGCATGGAAAATTGGGATGAAGCCTTGCCAGATGAACGCAACTGTTCACATTAATGAAGGCAAGACTAGCAAATTGCTGTTTCTGGGCCCCAAAGCTTGATCTGTCTGCAAAAATCTGCAGGTAGCACATGGAGCAGAGAGGGCACAAAATAAGTTTGTGGCTTTGATGAGAAACAATAGTGAACAAATGTTGCAGAATAGGGAAAAAACAAACAAACAAACAGAATAACTGAAGTTCAATTTCAAAGTACAATTAAAATAAATATTTTATTATGAGCAGGGGCTCCCCTAGGAAAAGTAACATCAGGATTCATTCACATACCCCTTGGAAAGCCAGCAGGGACTGCTGATACTGCTCTTTGAATGATCTCAGATTCCTAAACAAACATCCCACCTCTTCCCTCCCATTTCCCCAGGGAGCTGTTGGTGTGTCACACCAGGCCTTCTGACCGATTAATACCATTTCCTCATGCAGTAATGGAGATGCTGCAACCATGGCACTACCTACCCGAAAGCCATCCCTTCATTTTCTCTTTTCCTATTATGTTTAAATGTCTTTCCTTTCTTTTTTGCGCACCTGATTCAGATTTATAATCAATATAAACAACAGCTTGGCTGCTTTTAAAATGTTCACCTCATCCCTCCTGTCTGACCTGCCTCCTCTCTTTTTACCATCTTGTATTTCTGTACTTCTACTCTTCCACGACCCTTTCTATCGCACAGCTCTCCTCTGCTACCTCCCATTTGTACAATTACAGTTTGTAGCAATTAGATCCTTTTTCTATTATAGGTATATTTAGGACACCTATATTAAATGGTTTAATTTCAGGGTGCTGTTCTCTGTTACTGGGTTTTGTTAATGGAGGTCTATCCTTAGAGACCTGCAGGAGGGCTCATCTGGATCTTCCTCCTGTTCAGCTATTGGATCAGTTACTGAGAACCCTGCCATCCTCCACCCCAAAGGTGTCTCGGTCTGGATAAAAACAGCACAAAAGCAAAACCCTCTGAAAAGACTGCCTACATCAGCAAGTAGTTTCTCGTAACAGGAGGAGTCTGGGAGCAGTTGGTGTTGAATCTCCCACATTAACCCACCTCTTAAGGCCTAGTCTGGTTCCTTGGAATGAACATCTGCACCACACATGATGTGAACCTGTCTAGAGGAGTAGCAGCTGGTTCAGACCTCTACGTCCCTGCTGTGGGTTGGACAACATAGAGTTTCTTCTGGAAGGAGTTTAGTTTGTAGGCATCAAAATTGCCCTGAGACCCAAACCAATGGGAAATATGCAGGGATCATCAGGAGATCTGCTTTAAGTCAGCACTATTCCTCTGAAACTAATTGATAATGGTGAGAGAACCAAACCTGCTGTCGTAGGGCAGATCTTCCCCTTTTTGTGCATAGGGGTTGTACAGCAACACCAAATCCTTGATCTAGTCCCACCACAACATACAGAGCAGAAAATGCTGCAATGCTGGTTATGACACAATCCTTACTTCCTGCTTCACGTAAGAGGTGGACTGCTGTGTGGCACATGAATGCATCCACGTGTATCTTTGGAAGAATAAGGAATGAAGAATGGTATATAATTTGAATAAAGGTGGCCTAGCCAACTATGTAAAAGCAAGGAAGAGTACTCATGCCAGGCAGAAATGGCAAAAGCATTTTGGACACCATCTAAACTGCTGAGAAAAAAAATGCTTCCAATTTTAGGTAAAATAATAGTATTCAGTAGTTACTCAAAGTGATTGCCTATACTTACTGTGTATGGAACAACTTTTCAGCATCAACATTCCAAGAAAATGCATTTTCTTATCGCATTACTTAAAAAAAACTGAACACTGGAAGTATGCAAAGTAGGCAGAATGAAAAGAGAATGAGACAACTGAGCACTTTTTAAATCTGTACCATCTCTGACTGAACTTAATATGCAGCTGATTTGTTTTCCTTGTGGCAAACAATTTGGTGACTTAGAAGAATGATCCTGGTTCAAATAAAATAGTTTCTTGTAAAAGAAGAAAATCTTGCGAAGATACACTTGAGTGCAGAATTTAAAAAATCTTATAGTGGATATTAAAAGACCTAAAAGCCAAGAACTACTGCAAAACAGAAAAAACGAAGAGGCCTTAAAAAAGTTAAATGTTTTGAACCTATCAAAATGCTTTTCTGTCTTTCCAGACCGAAATCAGTATGCATCTTCATTTTTAAAGGGGAAGTGCAACTAGCCTTCGAACTCTTTC